TCTTTAAGACTCATTGAATACCTTATAAATCTTATATTCTAGGTAAGCTATAAATTAGATTTGTGATTAGTGACCCCAAGATTTGAACTCAAAAAATTAATGAAATGAGCAAACCTTCTTAATCGTCGGACCAATCCTTGGAGTTGAGAAAGATTTTTTTTCCTTTCTTTCTTTAGACTGTGTTGAATAATGAATACCTTTTAAACCCTATATTCTAGATAAGTCATAAATTAGATTTGCCATAGGCGACTCAAGATTTGAATCCAAAAAGTAAATAAAATGAGCAAAATTTCTTAACCGTGGGACCAACTCTTGGGTTGAGAGTGATTTTTTTTTTTCCTTTCTTTGGACTTGGCTCGTGAAGTTTGACTTTGACCATGAAAGAGCATGCAATTTGCAAGCTGTGTTTTGCTAATGCAATTTGCAAGCTGCAAACCAAGCACCCATGAGTGAAAGTTCTCGGAAAATTTCGAATTGGGTTGTTGGAAGTAATTAACAACATTTATTTTACTAATTAAAAGAATTAATTAGTTGGGTATGTTCTATTTATCAAGGGTCCATAACCTAAATTTTAAAGGGTTGGTCTAATGATAAAAAAAGTTTGTTCCCTTCATTAATTTTTTAAATTCAAATCACTATAAGATCACTTAATATTAGATTTATAAGGTATTTAATGACCTTAAAAATTAATTAAAATATATGTAAATTTATTTGATACACCGAATATAAAGGTGCAGAACCTTTTTGACTGAACTGTTGAGTTGTGTTGATGACAGCCAGTTAATAGTTGATGAAGAAAATGATGATGATGATGATTAGATGCTTTGCATATTCTACTTGTCCACAGGTTTATTTTAGAAGTTTCAACGAAAGTAGAAGAAAAAACTGAAAAAGTGATAAACGAGATTCGTTAATTTCTCTTTCGACCATTTAATCAATAAATAAGGTTTAAATATATTGGCATTATAATCTTAATGGTTAGTGGCAGTAGTTTTCACCAGCTAGAAATAATAATCACGATACATGATTTCCGTATCTTATTCATGTCTCTCTGCTGCAAGTTGATATTTGATGTCATTCAATTAAAAAATAATATTATAATATTATCAATTTAATCTGGCCTCCATAGTGCTGCTTTTAATTCTATTCTAAAGATGTTGACAAAATATCTGTCTCCTCTCCTCCACCGTCTATTTGTAAATTCCCCATTCAGTACGTTCATATTAATGTTTTTGACATATTTGTGCATAATTAATTATATTTTTTTTTTTAACTTTGAATTTTAAACCTTCGTTGTGGGTACGTAGTAGTTATCAGTTGGCCATATTGATTGTATTTTGCTTAGGGCAGGAGTTAACAACGTTATACTTTAATTATCATGTTTTTGTATTTAAGATTCATGTTTTTCATCAATTTTTTTATATTTTTTTCGTTATTAAACCAAATTACAAGCATCTCAATTAATCTCTCAGAACCTGACAATCGGATAAATCTCCTTAGTGAACACTCATATTAACAGTCCAAGTGGGTCAAACTTAAAATTTCTTGAATAATATACCCAAGAGTTTTAGTTAACCGTTCGGTCACTCAATGGTATTTTTTTTAATCAAATTAGTTGCTTTCTAATTGTTTAATTCTACTTGGAAAGTCAATGTTAAAAAAAAATATTTCTAAAATAATTTTTAATTAAGCCAGAATAGTTGTCCAATAATCACAATTAATTTTAAAATTTTAATAACTCTACAAATGAAAGAACCATACTAGTAAAAACAATCATATAATTAAAATATTTCCAAGAAATTAAATCTTATCAATATTTAAAACCCATTAATGGTGTTTATTTAATTATTTTAACCACAATACCTCATTTAAATTCTCTTAATGATTTATTATTTTATTTTATTTTTTGAAAAAATTAAAAGGTATTAAAATCAAAAAGGGAATTGACGAGAAGAAGAGAGGGAGCCAAGAGAAAGGAGTAGAGAAGGGCAAAAAGGTAAAGAAACGAAGTCCTAGTTTGGAACAATGACAGGCAGAACACAACTAGAGGCCGAGAAAAGCTGCTCACAGTTTTCCCCAACTCCACTTATAAAGCCAAACTCCATGACTTCTCAAACTCTTAATCTCGTGTCGTCTCTTTAACTCTGGTTACACCCTCTCTCGGGGTAACCAACACGAGCCATGGCACCCGGGGCTCAACCCTACACCTGCCCCAGCCCCAGCCCCCCGCCGCCTCCACAATCACTGCCCAAAACCACCCCAACCACCACCACGCCAGCACTCCTCAACAGATACCAACTGGGACGCCTTCTGGGCCGTGGCAGCTTTGCCAAGGTCCACCAGGCGCGTTCCATCGTCGACAACAGCGTCGTGGCTATTAAAGTCATTAGCAAGAATGCGAATCTTGATCCCAACATGGAGTCTCGAATCATCCGTGAAGTCGCCGCCATGCGCCGTCTTCAGCACCATCCTAATGTTCTCAAAATCCACGAAGTCATGGCTACCAAAACCAAGATCTACCTCGTGATGGAGTACGCCTCCGGTGGCGAGCTTTTCAACAAGGTTTTGCGCCGTGGCCGGCTTACCGAATCCGCCGCCCGCCGCTACTTTCAGCAGCTTGTGTCGGCTCTCCATTTCTGCCACCAAAACGGGGTTGCTCACCGTGATATGAAGCCGCAAAATCTCCTCCTTGACCAAAACGGTGACTTGAAAGTTTCCGACTTTGGTTTATCGGCTTTACCGGAGCAGCTGAAGAACGGGCTGCTGCATACGGCTTGTGGTACCCCGGCTTACACGGCTCCTGAAGTCATGGGTCGGCGTGGCTATGATGGTGCCAAAGCCGATGCATGGTCCTGCGGAGTTATATTATATGTATTGCTTGCTGGTTATTTGCCGTTTGATGATAGTAATTTATTAACCATGTATAAGAAGATCCAAAGAAAAGAGTATCAGTTCCCATCTTGGATCTCAAGACAAGCTAGATCGGTTATATATCAGCTCCTTGATCCGAATCCCAAATCAAGAATGAGTATTGAAGCGTTAATGAATCTTTCTTGGTTCAAGAAATCGTTGCAGCTGAAGGGTGAACAAGAAAGTAGTTTGTTCGAGTCAGAGTTAGTGTTTGATAACAAAGATAGTAAACGTGACATGGTGTCAATGAATGCGTTTGATATAATATCCCTGTCGTCTGGTTTGGATTTATCTGGGCTTTTTGAGGCGAAGAAGAGGAAGGAGAAGAGGTTTACGACGGTGGAGAAGGCGGAGAGAGTGGTGGAGAAAGTTAAAGAGGTTGGCGAGAAGTTGGGCTACAGAGTTGAGAGAGGGAAGGGTGGCGGTGTCATAGGGTTGGGGAAGCTTGGGAGGATGGTTTTGGTGGCTGAAGTGTTGGAAATTGCACCACAAATGTTGTTGGTGGAAATGAAGGTGGTTGATGCCTGTGGTGGTGGCGGCGGTGTGGTGGAGTTTGAGGAGGTTCATTGGAGCGATTTGCAGGTGGGACTTCAGGATATTGTTCTTTCATGGCATAGCAATGATGTGATTGTTATGTGAAGAGATGATGAATTAAGTTAATTGGATGGGTATTAGGAGTACTGATTTATGAGGGCGCTGATCTTGTACATGGATTTAGATTATCTTCTTCTCTGAGGGTTATGTTTTGTTTATTGTAAATCAGTAAAATTTTAGATTATTAGTGTAATTTAATAAAAGCTTCAGATTGTTTTGTTCATCATTTGCTTCTGTGCTCTGAGTCTCAGTTTTCAATTCTAGAAACTTAATCCTGCTAAGATACCAGGTGTGGTATCCATTACTAAACTCTGTTCCTTTACATAATGAAATAAACCAGTATTCCATGTTTGAACATGAAATTCTCTCGGCTTGCTAATCAGAACCAAACAATATCATGTCCCTTTTGACGAGAATTGTACTGTATAAGATACTGACGCTTTCAGAAGATGGAAATATTGATGTTGGAGCAGCCTAAGCATATAGAAAATTAATTTAAACCCGGATTAACTTAAGAATGAAGGTGCTCATCTGCAATTTGTATTCAGAAAGCTTTCACAATCCGAAATCTTTCTGCCTTCCCACCGCATGGATTGCGATGCTAAAGGAGGAAAGAAGAATGAATCGGTTGATAGCCTTGACCGGGATATGGGAACTAAGCAAGGGATGCTAAACTCAAACAAAAAAGAATGCCATTTAGAGCTTTTTAATTTCCCACCATCTACCCAATTGACCTATTCGATTGATTTACCAGACCATCTTACTAAAAAATCCAACCTGAACTGCCTGATCGATTAGTGTTTCCAGAGCCCGTACGTGATATCAATCCAGCTGCTGTCATATAAAACTACGAACAATAAGGTACTGACATCCTATTTCCTAGAGTTCAGCAAGCCAATTGCCTTCTGCGAAACTGAGAAGGAAATGATTTTATGCAGCTTTAGGGGACTGTGCTCTATCTGATGTTATTTACAAGTGCCTATTTCCTAGCTCGGACCTGGAAATTACTGCTAAAATTCTTTTTGAGCAAAGTTCAGTGGAAATAATTTCGAATGCAACTGTTCAATGCGCTGTTTGCTTATCTAAGCATGTATTTGGTGTCTCTGCTTGAGCAGAAGACACATTCCAGAGGTGTTGAGAAGAGAAAATTACAACCATAAATGAACGGACACAATTAGCATACTGTGTTATTTATGTGATAGGAGTATTGATATAAATTGATTTACATGATGCATACTATAACTTGACAAAGCTTGAATCCTACAACCTTTATCAGGAGCCTCTAGAACTGGCAATCAGCTTTCTTTGGTCTCTAGTCCAACTGTTTTCAAATGGACACATAATCTGCAAACTACTAAATACAGTATCATAGAGCAGATTACTCATTGGCTTTGCTACCATACGTTTGTAAGGCGTTTCAATCAAAATTTTTATACCAGCTAATTGTTGGAACATCATTGATCCAACTACGAATTTTCACATCAAAATGGAAATTTCATACTCAAAAAACTTGTTGCAGAGAAATATCTAAGGACCATCACCATCACCATCTTCATCATCATCTACTCCAGCCACACATGAAAGTGTTGACATCCATGCCTGCAAACCACTCTGAGCATCTTTCTTCCTTGTTAATTCCAGCTTGTTAACAGCTCGCTTTGGAACTCCACATTTCATGAGAACAGCTCCAAGTGATTTGAATGTATAATCATCAGGTTGAACGCCAGAATTCACCATTTCCTTAAAAGTTCCAACCACCTCTCTAAATCTCCCATCCAATGCATACAACCCAAGCACATTATTGTAACTCAATAAAGCAGTTATAAGTCCCGATTCTTTCATCTGTTTAGCAATGTGAGTGGCCTCTTCAAACCTACCATTTCTCTTGTACATGATTAACATCATTGCAAACGTAAACTCATTGGCATCCCCAGTTTTCTTCAAGTTCTCAAAAAGCTCTTCTGCTTGTCTAACCATAGACCGCTCACTGTAGAGGTCAATCATACAATTTGAAGTGTACATATCAGGATGCACCTTCAGTGATTTAAGCATTTGGTAAGTTTCTTGTGCTTCTTTCAGATAACCAACTTTGGTATAAAGCTTAATCAAGGAGCTATATATGACAGCATTTGCAGGCAATCCAGCACTTCCCATCGCATCAAAATAACTGATAGCTTCCTTAACACTTCCAGCATCTGCAAAAGCATTTATCAATACACCAAAGACAAAAACATCAGGCTCCACATTAAATTGAATCATCTCCTTATATAGTATCTCCGCCATTTCCAACTGCCCTAACTTCACAAAGCTTGAGATCACAGCACAATATGGGATGCAATCACTGACAAGTCCTGCCTCCTGCATCTTTCTCAGGTAGGGTTTTGCCATGTGTGGCAAGTCAGCACCAGCTAAAATTTGTATAAGGGAATTATAGCTACATTTGTCAGGAGCTACATCATGAATCTCCATGCTATCAAATAACTGGCACGCTTTATCATAATTCTTTCCCATTCCATATGCCTTTATCATCACATTAAACTCAAGAACAGTCAGCTTCTTCCCTTCTTGGCAACAACTGAAAGCTCTCTCAGCTTCCAAAATATGCCCTCGCTCCCCATATGCGTCAATGTTGGCAGAATAGCCCTCAGAGCTCATATTCCCTGCAAGATGAAACCTTTTAAACCACAACCATGACTTCTCCAACATCCCAGCTTCAATATACATTCGGGTCAAAGCAGATTGGGTATATTCATCAATCTCAAGATCCTTTCTGTCCATCTCCACTATGAGTTCTTCAGCTTCAGAAACCATATGCCTTATTGAGTAGGCATACAAAAGGGTGCGGTAGCTCACAATATCTGGTTCAAGGCAAGCCTCCTTCATCTTTGTAAAGTAGCTAGCGGCCTTGTTTATATCATCATGTTTAGCATGGAGGAAAATGAGAATATTATATGTTCTCGTGTCAGGTGGACGCTTAAGTTCCTCCATCTTCTTCATCAATGAAGTCACTTCTCCTAGCTGGTCATTGTTGCCATAAATGTGTATCATAGTATTGAAAGTCACAGTGTTCGGAACAATCCCTTCTCTGAGCATCTGTGCAAAAGTTTCAGACACCTCTTTAAGTTGTCCTGCCTTCCCATATGTATCAATCAAAGTATTATAGGTATATGAGCTCAAACAACCATGTGTTTGTGATCCATTTTTTACTCTACCAATCATTGTTTTAGCTGTTACTTCCCCCCTCATGGATTCTCTAGACGACCACTTCTTGAAAAACTCCTCCGCCTGTTTGAACTCCCCTGCCTTCTTATACATTTGCAAAACAGCCCCCATCGTCACCTCATCGGGCTCCATGCCTCGTTCATTCATCCTTTCAAGCCAACGGACTGCCTCTTTCTTAAGCCCACCTTTGCTATAAACATCAATCAAAGTACCATAGGTAGAATTAATCAGCCCAATCCCTTTAATATCCATCTCGTCCAACAAACTCTCAACATTACTCCACTTATGAGCTTTGCCTAAAATCCTGAGCATGATATTATAATGAATCACATTCATCTCGTAACATTTCTTTCTCTTAAACCACTCAAAAATCTCTAAAGCTCTCTCCCAACTTGACTGCTCCTTCAAAATAATGCTTCTTTCTTTTCTACTAATCTTCTCTTCCCAAGGCTTTAAAGCCTCGTCCAAATCTTTAACAGTCTCCAAAGCCTGCAACATTAACGGTATACAACCTCCATAAGAGGCCCATTTCATCGAACATCTGGCCTGCACTTTACCATTCGCGTTACCATCTTCAAATCTACTGCCAATATTTCTTTTACTTAATATTCTAGCATCAACCCTTCTGTTTTCTCCCTCTTCTCTAACTGGGTTTCGCTCAAAACTTCGTTTTTCCAAGTCGGTTTCATGGAACACAGAATTTGGCTTATCAGAGCGGTTATACTTGTGAATTCTGTTGAACTTCTTGTTGACTCCTACATAGGAACTTTGATGCAAATTTTTATCTCTGCGTTTGTTAATGGGTTCTTTACTTGTTTCTAGAGAAGGAACTGAAACAGAAACTCCAATATTGTTGGGTGGCGAGATTTTTGCGGAACACAAAGTGTAAAAACAACTGGTTTCTAACTGGGGCTTAACGAACATCTTTCTTTCTTTATTTGTTTCGGACAATGGATAATAAAATTGATTCCTACATATAAAGTTTCAGAGCTATGAAATATGAATTATGATTATGGATTATGGTGGCTCTTCTTACTCATTTCGAAGCTCGCCTCATGCTGATATGAGCTTGTGAGTCTAATTTCGGCTCTAAGGAAAAGGCTTGGTGTCGGGTATGGTTCATGCTTAACGGGCAGCCCACATTTTGAGTATCAACGTAGCAACCGTTTATTAATAACTGCTTTATTTATAAGAAGTTCTTTCGAATAATTATTTTTTACGAAGAAATAATTGCTTTTTTATAAAAAATATTCATTCACAAGAAACGATTGTTCGCATCTAGCCAAAGTCATTTAATATCTTGATTGTGGTGGAAGCTAACGTGACAGTTGCCAACTCAACTGTTACGTTGAAATTATAAGAGAAAATTACGAGCTTTAGTACTATGCTTCATTTGGGAAGTATTAAAACATTCATGTTGTTCGTAATTCGTTAGGGTTCCATCCAATTTTCAATTCAAAAATCTGTTTTACCCCTTGTATCACTTACCAACTTAAAACAATTTATATTTTATTCTTCATTATCTTTCTATTTATTTAAAAATCATTAAAATATTATAATAGTTTTCACATAATTTATTATTCATTTATAAATTTTACTTTAATTATTTTGAAAAAAAAGACTTATTACTAAAATACACTTATTTTTATTTTGTCTTAACTATAATCATTTTAAGGTTTATTATAATTTTTCAGCCTTTATAGTCATTGTTTATCTCATAGTATAAATTTCAAAACATTTGACTTAAAAAAAAAAATTGTTTTAAATAAAAAATTGTTTTTATATATTTTATTAAATTCATTTATCTTAACCAAATTCAATTTTTAATTTGGTTTTTTATTATTAAATCTTTGTTTATATTTGTTATGCAGATGTGTAACCTTGAACCATATACAATAAAACATCTCTATAGTCATAATGGTATGACTAATTAATTTTATTACTATAAAGAAGTTGTAACTTAATGGAGGTATAGTTATAAAATTATAGTTTTGATTTCTTATTTTATAATTCATATTTTAGTAGTACAGTATTAGGATTTCGATTCATATTTTAATAATATTATGATTTCAATTCAACGCTTCAATTGCTTACTTTTGAAATGGATAAAAGATCGTTTCTTAGAACCAACAAAAATAAGTGTCATTGATGGAACTGTAAATGCAATAGATGCATGGTCAATTGATATAAAGCCACAGACCATTGTCAATGGTTTTAAGCGCTGCAAAATTAGAACCACTATTGTCAATGAATTGTAAGTTAAAAATGAAGTGGATGAGAAGAATAAAAGAGTCACTATAGAATTGAGTGATCAGATTCGATAACTTCACTATACTAATCGAATGGATATTAATGTCTTATTCGATTGTCCAAATGAGCAACAAATCATGTATATTTTAACCGAATGAGAAATCATTGTTGCAATTAGACAAGAAGAGAAATGAAATAATCCTAAGGATACTAGTACAGAAATACAAAAAGTCATGTGTCATGAAGCTCTAAATATGCTTGAGAAACTAAAACTATTTTGGCTCCAACAAGAAGGTATTCATACCAACGTGCTATTACGTACTCGTAAGGTAAAAGATGTGATAACAACTCTAAAGCATAAATCATTGTCCCAAACAATTTTAAATAAATATTTTATTTCATTTTAAACCTTTAATTTTAGATAACATTTTTTTTTTTTTTTATAATATATAGATAATTATTACTATATAGAGACAAGTTTCCTTAAGGCGGGAATTAGAAAAATTATAACTTATTACAATGTAAAGTTTATTCTTATTTATAACTATCCTAAATTGGGACTAGAGTTTTTTATGACTATGTAGAGTTTATTCCTATATATAGTATCACTATAGAGAGGATTTATTGTAATTGTAAGTTCAAGGTTGATTTGAGTGGAGTATTGAAGAAATTAATTTAAGTTGGTTAGTCACGGAAGAGGTAATAATAGTTTTAGATTTAAAATTGAATGAAATGAAACCCTAACATGTCACTAACATCAAAGACATTTTTAATCCTTTATGAACGAAACGGATGAGTTTAATACTATATCAATCTTATAAGGGTGTAAATAAAATTTATAAGGGTGTAAATAAAATAAACCCTTATTCTATATTTTGTAGTTGTAAATAGATAAAAGAAAATATATAAGGCTTCCTTGGATTCATTATTGGGTAGTTTTTAGAATAATATTTTGGAAAAAGTTAAATTGGGTGGGTATTACGATGTAGAATTTTGAAAATTAACAAAAACACCTCTTATGTATATTTATTTACTGAACACCCCTATAATAAATTATTTAAAGTTAACAAAAACACCCCCAACTCACTCATTAAATACAGACAGTCAGCCACCACCGCCGGAGGGTGGTCAGAGTCACCGTATCGATGCATGACCGATTGGATCTTATTGGTCGTGCGCCGATATGGTCTTTTTCGGCCAAATCCAGCGTGGATCTGGCCGAAAAAGGCCAGATCTACAACTAGATCTGTCCAAAGATACGACCGTCATTGACTACTGTTTACGGCCAAAGATCTGGCCGTCAATAGATCTGTTCTTTTCCGGTTAGATCCACCGTAAATCTGACCCAAAAAGGCTAGATCGATGCACTATCGACTACCAGCCAAATTCAGTCAGTAGTGCGCTATTACACCAAATTCTGGCCAGCTTCTGGTAGTAATGGCCGGAATCTGGTAAATTTAGGTTATTGGGGTGTTTTTGTCAATTTAAAAAAAAAATTTTGGATTATTTAGTTAAATTAACAAATTTAGGAAGCTTAAAAAAACTTGAATAATTTAGAATTATATTTTGAAAATAGGTGAACCAAACACAATTTTTGTGTTAACTTTATTGGGAAAAATATTCCAATATATGTACCAAATGGAGCCTAAGCATTCCGCAAAATGATCTGTCCTGTAGAAAACTGTACTTATTTAATCAATCATTTCAAGATATTGTAATTATTCTGATTTTACATAACTTTTGCAAAGCAATAAACAGGATCAAGCAGGACATAAACAATGATACACTGACAGAGAGAGATCGTTGCCATTATTAAGAGTGATCGTTTTACAGGATGAAACTAGGGCTACAAAGAGAACCAGCTTTACCCATATAAAGATGAAGGATTTGTTTAACCCCCATTTCATCTTCAATTAACTTTAACAATCAGGAATATATATATATATTATTCATCCCGCACAGATCAGCAACGCATGAGATAAGTCAAATGCCTGCTCATTTACAATACTTCTTGAACCACACTCCAATATTGAGGAAGCTTTCAAAGTCCGACTGTGGCCTGCAGAAATGGAAAATATAACAGAAGTCAGAAACTAGACTGCGGTTGTTGTGGTCAGGATAAAACATGAAAGCATGAAGGGACATTTTTACCTTTCAATTGCATGAACATCCTTGGGAAACAAAATGACTTTGGTTTCGACTCCTTTCTCCTTTAGTGCCCGTGCGCACTAGACAACAATTCAAACAAAAACCGTTCATGAAATCTTAACATACCATCTGCTAATCGTCTACACTAAATAATTTATGGTTGTTCCAAGGTTTTCGGGAGTGGAACAAAAACAACAACCGAGGGCAGAAAAGAAAACCAAGTTTCCATTGAAATTCCCATTGTTTCTCTGGTTGTTTTACCTGGTGCTCCTTTGCAGAATAACTTAGTAATCATTCAAGCTCTTGCAGAAATATAAAGATAATTCATTTTCCAAGTCGAATAAAATATCTTACTTGCAAGCCATTAGAAAATGGAACACGGAGATCCTGAGCACCTAAAAGAAAGAGGGTCGGTGTTTTGACCTGCAGAGACCATCAAAGTGTGTAAGTTAGCAAGAAGATTCTATTTTAGCAGGCATCCATCAACTGTCATGATTCTTTGAAATATATTTGTTTTTTACCAGAAAAATAAGTTCTAAATGTTTTACTGTCTCGTATCAAATTAAATCTGTGGACGTGGCAAATAAATCCAACTTATTGCAAGCCAAAGAGTTCAACTTTGCTAAAAGATGAGAGAGAAGAGAAACACTGAGAAACTCCACCATCACCATCCTTGTGTGGGAAATAAGTCCATAGGTTCAACTTTTCACCATGCAGTATAATATTGTCCACATTTATCCTAATCCACACGGTTTTGCTTCTGCAATCACCTAAAAGACCTCGTACTGATAGGAAGCGAGTCTCTACATATATTGTACAAAGACCCTTTCTAACAACTTGATGTAAAAATATAAATCTTGATCATCACCTCATTCATCTTGGTCATCTTGTTCAGCTCTAGTATCCTTGAGGAGTGTTGGATATTGGCTATTACATTTTTTCACTCTTTACTATCGATATTTTGCCTCAGATCATGCCATGAGCACAGCTTCCAAATGTTATCACCAAAGAATGCCAAGCAACCAGTAGCAATGACTCAAATCAAACATGCACAGGCATTATGCCCATTTGGCTACACTAATCCCTGCATTCAGTTTGAACAATAATGTAACAATTCTCCAAAATGGAAATCCTTGCAGGATTCTTTAGTGGATCACCAATGCTCTAATATCACTTGGATGAGGGCTTTCTTGCACTCAGTTTTATTTGGATTAGATCACTGAATGGCATCTCATTTCCATTCTAATGTGCTTCAATCAAACGTCCTTGAATCAACTACCAAAACTAGTAAAAGACATTGGTAAACACACCTTTGAGACGTGTGATATAGGAGACTTGCTGTAAAAGAGAGTCAAATGCTCAGCTGAAGGTGAGTCTGTAAAGCTATCTTTCCCCTTGCTTCCATAAGATTCCACATAACACCATTCAGGGATATCTGTTGTACCAACCATCAGTGCAAGATTGCAAACAGGATTCCTTACAGCAGCTGCAACAAACATATCCGGTGCCTGAACAAAATTATAAAAAAATATCTTCATGATTTTGAAGTATAACAAAACCATAAAAATGTTGTAACAAATCACAACATCCAGTCTACTGAAGAACGCCTAAACATCAGTAGGACACATCTGTATTATCACAAATGAAAAACTACCACACCTGGCCAATCAAGTGACTAGTTAGAAAGCCACCATGGGAGCCGCCAAGCACAGTTATTTTAGAGGAGCTAGCAAGTTCCATATCAATAACATGATCTATAGCAGTGAGTACATCATTTACATCCTGTGGGTAATAAGCCAAGATATTAGGAGACACATCTCATACCAAAATATCTAAAGAATCTGCTCATGAAAATTTAGTTGCTCGTGAAGGAAATGAACAATGAAAGTGTGCATAACAAATCTGGATTGCACCTGGGATCCAACTTTCCCTGGAAGCGATTGCAATGCTTCTTCACCGAATCCCACTGACCCTCTGAGATCAACTACCATGTTAGAAAAAGCTTGAATGAAGATTTATGCCTGCCCCTTTTCTTATTTTTCTTTGCATGAGAGGGGTTACATGAGAGAGAGAAAAAAGAATCTATTTCCAAGGTCAATCAATTTCGGTGATCAGAGTGGGATTGTGTGATTTGGGGTTTAGTAGAACAAAGTATATGCCAGGGGCGGACCTAGGAATTCATTTTAGAGGGGCAAGTAATATAATATAAAACAGGAAAAAAGTAAATGAGGGATGTCAAATCTGGAAACATGAATACAAATTCAGGGGGGTTAAAGCAAACAATCAAACTAAATTAATGAAAAATAAAATTTGAGTGGGGTCACCATCCCCCCACTCATCATAACTTGAGTCCCCCCATATATATAAATATATATATATATATAATGAATGGAAAAGTGAATACAAGAAGTCAAACTCATCATATTCACTCTTCCATTCATTTTCTACCACATCACTTTGTATAGAAATCTTTGTAAGATTTCTTTGTATGTATAGTATTACTTATATATATATATGTAGAGAGAGAGAGAGAGAGAGAGAAAGACGTATGTATATATGTATATATATACCTCTACATATATGTAGTATATATAATATATGTATATTTATATGTAGATATATGTATATATATATATATATATATGTCTACATATATGTCTCTCTCTCTCTCTCTCTCTCTCTCTCTCTCTCTCTCTTCTCTCATATAGATATATATATATATATATATAACTTGGGGCGAGAGTTATGAGTGGGGCCCCCACTCAAATTTAATTTTTTATTATTATTTTGATTGTTTGCTTTAATCCCCCTGAATTTGTATAATGTTTCTAGATGACTCCCTCTTTACTTTTTTTCTGTTTTATATTATATTATTTTTAACTTGCCCCCTCTAAATTAATTTTGGGTCCGCCCCTGATATACTCTGTTTACACACACACACACACACACACACACATTATAGCTTAAATTTTAATTTAACCAGCTAAAAAGGTAAAGATTCACTTGCCTGTAATTTATTATCAACAAGTCGAAACAATTGAGAGAGAAAAGCCAGGACTTTGAAAAGCTTGACAGAGACAGAATGTGGCCCCCATGAAGGACTGCAATTAGTGGATCACAGCCGCTATCTCTCTTAATTAAAGAAGACGATATAGCTTCAAACGGTTTTTTGGCACCTGAAATGAATTAAACACATAGAGGACCTCAAAGATCATGTGCATGAGTATATGATTTCAGAATTCAAATACTGCCAGGTATAAGACAAAGATTATTAAATAAATGCATCACTCTACATGAACTAAGGCATCAAATATTTGCAGGGTCTGAACCTTGTGTAGACACTTTAGAAATATCCTATTGCTTGTATCAAGAATACAATGATTTATATTATTCACCAAACCTCTGAGCACTCAAGATCATTCTACTTTGCCATAAAACCCCAATAAATTTCATTTTTCATTGATCTTTTAGATTCTCCATCGTCAACTAATGAAAAACAACGCTATTCTTTCTTATCACCATAGAATATAAATCCTCCAATACTATGACACATCAGTATTACTATTTTAGTCCTAATTAAGCCAAAGCATACACTCTCAACAGAATGCTATCAGTAATATTCCAACAGCCTTAATGAAGCATCACTTAAATTCAAAAATTATGGTTTCTTTAAACCAAAATCATTGTAATACCTTCTGTTAGGTTAGCAGAAACATCCTTCACTGGAATTTTTATCATACTGAAATTTAAGAGATGAGAGCAATGATCTAACCTGCACAAGTAGAGATGCTGGATATATACTCTTAATTTGTTGTATTGACTGTATGAAGAAAGAAAATGCATAACCTTCTCAGAGCATCTAAAGATGGGGCTTGATACATTTAACCTTCCCTGCACCATTCTATTTGCACTCTCAAACACCAGATTTAACACCACACATAGACATCATGATATATTGATTTATTAATTTTCTGAATCTTTATTATTACTTTAACCATATTCCATATTTATAAATTATAATTATGTAAATTTAAATAATATAAATTTTTATTATAATAGAATGATAAATAAATTTTTTTTTTTTTAAATTTAAATATAATTAAAAAAATTTAATTGATCATAAGGGTGTCATTTTAATTCATTTTTCATTATAAATTTTTTTTGTTTAGTATTGCCATTTATATATAATTATAATGAGACAACAATAATATATTATATTAACATTTGTTTATTTTCAATTTATACAATATCCACATCCCATATCATCTTTATTATAGAACTAAATATCTATATAATGTTTACTTATTGTATACAGTTACATCAGCAAATTTAATTTCCATGTTATCCCACCCCCCCCCCCCCCCCTTCTAAATTAGTATATATATGTTAATAACATTAAGTAATATTTTTCAATAAATGTATTTAAAATAACCGTGTTAAATATTTACAAATTGCTCCACCACCCCCCCCATTTTTATTTGCTCTAAAAAAATAACCGTATTTGATTTGAGGAATGTCTACTGGACTGCTAGACACTGCGAATGTCAAAAGAGAAGAATTTAATTCAATTTCTTTGCTTCAAAATAAGATGTGCTATGGATAAAGAACAGATCTCTGTGTTACCAGCAATAATATTGTCCCCATTAGTGTAAGAACATTCCATGAAAAATTGACTTAGTGGGGCTAATGCGTAATGACTCCACTGTAATTTAATAATCTATCATCAGTTGATTTTCAAACAGATTCACCAAACAAGGTTATAAAATCATTAAGTTACCTCAGCACATTCACTGAAATTATTACTTGACTAATACCCAGGTGGAAGATAAAATCATAGTGCATCTATCAGAAAGCCATGGATTACTTAGGATATCTGAACAATAAAGCCCTGGGAAGCAATCATCCTTTGCACACTGCACGATGGAAATCTGCAGAGATTTTATAGAATAAAGCAATGTGAAATGCAGCTAATATCAGATACCAAAAGAATAAATAGATAAATAAGTATATGAAGAAATCAAGGTGTTCCAAATCCTTCAAAAACTATTTACCTAAGTATGCTGTTGGCGATTTATCACCAATAAAACAAAAGAGAGTGGAGCACTTAAGCAAACAAAATATTTAGCTCTATCTCCAACTTGTGTTCATAAAGGTTAGTAATTCTAGTAGGTAAGCGCTATTTTCACAGGTTCATAGCAGAATCAAGGTTCATAACTTGCACAAGCATGCAAGGAAAACAAAGTATTGAATACAAATAATGAGGTTTCAATCAGTCAATGAAGTTGATTATATCAGAAATAATTATAAATACTAGATTACTCACCACATCAATAATTTTATCAGATGTAGACGGCTTTCCATTGGCGGCACCAATCAAATTCTGTGAAGTGAATTTGTTGCACAATGCGCACAGAGTCCACAGAACATTTGCAGATAAAAACACAAGGGACCTTTCCATTGGACTGGAAGACAGAAAAAAGAGAAACAAAAAAACCTAGTGGTATGTTCAACCAGAACCAGAAGGTTCAAAGCAAACTAAAAAACTATGATCTATGACCAAACCTACTTTAATAAAGGTATAAAATTAATCGTAATGGCTACTGATCCTGGCAAATTTCTCGAATCTTGATAAATTAATTTGTATATCCTCAATTTCAAAAACAACAAATGTTTTTAACAGGTCAAATCAAACAGTACCCAATAATAAAAATGCAAGACCATTGTAATACCTGAATCGTGGAAAGAAGGCACTGCTGATGGTTTGAGTTAAGTTAACCACAGGAAAATCTTTACAGGAGCTATCTCGGGAACATGAATAGAAATTCAAAATAGTCAATACATCAGAGTTAGTAGTAGTTATCCAACTCCTATATGATATCAACACATCCCCCCAACCCAGCGGGGCCACCCCCCACCCCAACACGCACACAACACACACAAAAAATAATTTAAAAAAGAAAAAAGAGCGAAATTTAAAAAGCAGTGACCCACTTGAGTTCGAGTCACCTGCCTTCTGATTTGTAAAGTTGATGACGGATGCATATAATGCACATGCCCTATTGTAGCAATATTTTATACCAAGCTTTCTTGAATCTGATGGCCACCCAACAAAAACCAATAATTGGGACAAGCCTTCAGTTGATGGAGCCCACACAACTTGCCCAACGCTCAAAGATTTTGGAATTCCTTTTACAGCTTGTACTTCTCCACTACACAGAAATGGGAAGTTTAATTTTAGGTTTCAACATTCGAATATAAACTCTATTTAACTAATCATAGCAATAGAATAAACAAAACAAAGATGCAGACCTGTCAAAGTTGATTAAGAAAAGAGAAGGCTGCCTCTTTCCCGCATAGGTTTCTCCCCAATCCTCCTCCCAATCACCTTGACCCTTCCAGGTACCACAATCCTTATCCGAGGAACCAGCTTTCTGGTAGCCCATACTAAATGTTGGCTTTGGAGGAGATGGTTCCTCGGCAACATAAGCAATAAGAGTTTCATCAGAGTTCCAAGATATTCCCTCAAACCTGTATCATCAAGGAAGCTTTCAATTTTTCTGGGACTGGTAAGATAATATGGATAAAAACTCTTCTGCTAGCACAAACACAGCCACTACCAGTATAACTACTTATAAAATTGAACAGTACTACAGCTAAACACACATGCAAAGAGGCAATTATATTTTAGATTAACTCAGCATACTAAAGACTAATCACAAGAAGAATGATAGTCAGTTAATTAGTTACCATCCATCAACGTATACAGAGCCATGCACAGTTTGAGGGATTTGGAATTCCTTTTCCAACTGAGATTGACTCCAGATTTCAAGATGAGTAGGAGATTCATTTTCTGGATTCCTTACTACAAGAAGCTTTGAACCTGAAGGTGATGGAACAATTGTAGATGCACCTGTCATCTCAACAGGAAATGGGGCCCATTGAAAGTTTACAGAATTACTATTTTCCTTTGAAATAGCAGTAGATAGCATAAACTTCCTCTTCTTGTTAGCCAAAAGATTTGGTTGGCTAATTGAAAAAATTGCCTGTGTGCCTATTCCTGCAACAACGATTTAAAACCAAAAATTATTGTGAACCATGGGCATTATGAAGGAATGAAGTAGGGCAAAAAGTTGCAAACATTGCTAGTCATACCATTGCCCGACTTAAAAGTCCACGCCTTGTCAATGGTAGAGATATTAACAAACTCTTGAAGCAACTTGGATTGGGAAGCATATTCTTCTTCAGTGGATGAGTCTAACCCCGAGGGAATTTCCTTAGGGGTGTCAGCCTTAGAACTATCCATGGCTAGAGATGTGGACAGTTGTTTACTACATATTTAACGAAAAATACAATCATAAATAACTAACAGTCAACCAGGTAAGAATTTTGAGAACGGGAACACATTTCTGTATTAGGCGAAACACAATTAGTCCACAAAATTGAAGGTGCAATACAACCATTCAAGTAATAATCAGTAGATTGGCCTCAAATAAAACATTGGATTCAGGGACTGAAACACATGTAACAATTACATTCTCCCAAATCTTACGCTTTCCTTCTCCCACAAAAGTATGACAATTTCTAAATCTGAATTATATAAATTGCATGGTATATATAACCATTTCATGGTTTGGTGCATATAAACAATTCATAATGAAGCAACTTTTATGTGTGCATTAGTGTGCTCAGTTATAAAAGAAAATATCATAGTTTACTTCTATTTACAACAACAAATATACATGTGAATGTGAAGACATATTAATAAGTTCTAGGAACCTGATAGAATTTGGGAGTCAAAACATTTAAAAAAAAAAAAAAAAAAAAAAAATCTGCAAAAATAACCGTTGAGTAATTAATTAATTATTTCTGAATTTAAAATAAGAAATTCTTTGAATACCTTGATGAAGCAAATGAATATTCCAAAAATAAAGAAAGAAATAAAGAAAAGAAGTTGCAACTGCTAGAGGTGGTATAAAAAGTAAAACCAAGAACATCAGAAATGATAGGTTTTGCCTGCACTTATAAAACAAGGAAAACATAGACAACCAACTAGTTACATCGATAATTACTGAAACAACAATTAGAATTTCAACTAATCAAATTAACCAACCTAAGTTATTTTCAGTTAATATGTATTAAACATAAGAAAAAGCCTCCGCAACAGTCAGTGACAGTAATAAGTCATAGCAACCCCGAAGTTAATTAACTCGATTTATGACAATAATATGTTTGCCGCAATATTCTATTCTATCAACAAAATCGCTAAAAGTAAATGATATAATTATCACTTCTTGTATCAAGAATCCAGAGTTTTCTTGGACTTTAGTACATTTACTTTCAACACTTGAGACGAAACCAAATACAAATTTAGTTAAAAAAAAATTAAAATATTTAACAAAACTAATACCAATGATTCGGCAATGAACCTTCAACATACGAGTGTTAAATAACACAGAAATCATCCAATTCAAAAAGTGATAAAACTGATCAAGACATGGAATAGAATAAATGCAGAAATTAGTGAAGTGGAATTCACAAAGTATAAATTTAATCCAACCATCCATACATATCAATTGATTAAGGAACTAAAGAAAAACCAAACTGAAACTAGTAGTTGACAGAACTTACGCTGAGATAGAAACCGAAGTGCCGACAGTGAGGAGACTTGGACCAAGAGTGTGAGAGTGAGAGTGAGGATGATGAGATAAAAAGGGCAGAGAGATTCGAGAGGAAAGCACGTTGAAGCAACATGAGTTAGTGATAATGTCGTTTAATAATAACATTCTACCCATTACAGGCATGTGTTTTGTTGAAATTTTCCAAAACCAAATTTCATAATTTTTTAGATATCAAAATTATTTATAAATTTCAATTGATTTTAGATTTTGTATTTGTATTCCTTAACTTCATACGGGACGTAGAGGGAACATGACCTTGATATTCAAATTCAATTTTACACAATTTGAGAATAAATGATAAATTAAAAAAAAAACAAAAGACAAAAACCTACCTATCAATCACCGTTAACGGCAGATGAAAAAGACAAAGACCTAATATCAATCACCTAAGCTTCTTAATTAGTAGATAGTTTTAAGTACGGGCTAATTCTAAAGTTTAAAGATTATTTGAGATACGTGTAAACCGATCTTAAAACTTTGTGATAAAAAAAAACTATCAATAATACTATTCTTATAAAAAAAATCTTATAAAGATTTTTATACACACTTTTGTATTCATTTTTTGCTATACCATTTTATATGAAAATCTTTATAAGATTTGTTCGTAAAAAAAATCTTTTAATAACTGATAAATTTATTTTTCTATTTATTTTTTATCACATCACTTTGTATAAAAATCTTTATAAGATTTTTTTTTAAAAAAATCTTTCAATAATTGAAGAATAGAATAAAATTAGGAATAAATCTTTTAATAATTGAAGAATAGATAATAGCTATGCTTTTCCTAATTTTATTCTATTCTTCAATTATTAAAAGATTTTTTTTAATTTATTTTGAGAGGAAAGAAGTAATAACTCCAAACTCCAAAGTGGATAAGGAGGACCAGAGGAGGAGCCCAAAACTCCAATGTACACAAGACTGACAATCGACTCACTGGCTGTCACGAAAGTAAACAAGAACGTCCACTAATCGGATGCCACGTATACATTGCATTACATCTTATGAGACAACCGTCACGGGAACTTTATCTTACCGTTAAGTGAGGCGGGCAATTAAAGGCTATAAAACATGGAGCTAAAAAGAAGAAGATGATAGAAGAGAGATGGCAGTTTGTTCATCTTCATCACTCTCTGTTTTCTCTGTCAATTCAGTTCCCAAAACCAGTTCTAAGAACTCTGACATCAATCTCAAACTAAACAAAGCTTCTTATAATGTCGGATTGTACGGAAAATCTAGTGGTCGAAGTGGGCTCACAAAGTTGAATGCAGGTGGGAAGCTGAATCTCATCGAGCCAGATCTCAACGAAGATCCAGTTGACCGTTGGGCCACATTCGGTGTTAGCCCTGTATATCTTCTTAACACTCTCTCTATGCATGGATTATGCTGTAAACTCGTTTCATTCAAACTTTATATATAAGTGAAGTGAAAATTGCATGAATACATGTTATTGAGATTTTTACTGTATCATGTATGCTTAAGTAGATGTTAAAAATAATGGTTTTGATGCTTTAATGTGTGTTGTTGAGTGCAGGAAGATTTTAAATATGGAGAGTATGATGGGCACCATACTTACTTCGAAACCGACGAGAGAGGTCTCAAGTTTACTTTTTTGATTAATCTATAAGGGCTTCATTCCATTTGTTAACTATTTTTCTGTTGGGTTGATAAACATGTAATTGCAATTAGAGGGTTCTGAACTTGAATGTTGTATAAGCGTTTGGTGAATGATTCTTTTTCTTCTTGAAATTTCATGTCTATCAAACTTAAGGGATTAATTTTATCTGGGTGTAAAGTTGATTTTTTTTTTTTTTTTTTTTCTCGAGGAAGAATTGAATATGTTTTATGAACCTTTTGTTATGAGACTATCAAATCTTCACCATTTTATTAATATTGCTGAAAATTTTATATATAGGATCATTTTGGGGAGCAATTGCCGACGATGTCAGGGCCACAGAACCGCCATCAGGCTTTCAAGGTATCAATAGCTGTTGCAGACCTTTGATAACATGGAACTTAAATTAAAGGCACTGTCATTTTTAAGTAATTGAATTCTCTTTTATTGTTTTTCAGGATTTATATCATGGGCTTTCCTCCCTGCAGTTGCTGCAGGAATGTATTTCAATGTTCCGGTAACTCTAAATCTAGATTTAAACCTATGAAAGTATTCATTATTGAGTCTCCAGTTAATGATTTTAAGAACTGAGAATAACCACCTATATGTTTCATCTTTAATTGAGAAACTCCTCTCATTTGTGATCTTTTAGGGGGAGTACTTGTTCATTGGAGCAGCTGTTTTTGTTACAATTTTCACCATATTTGAGTTAGATAAGCCGGACAAACCCCACAACTTTGAGCCCGAGATATACAATATGGAAAGGGGAGCTCGTGACAAGTTAATCAATGACTACAATACCATGAGCATCTGGGAATTCAATGAGAAATATGGACACCTCTGGGATTTCACAGTGAAGGTGGAAGAAACAACAAAGAGATAATTTCCTCTGATGAATAGGGATTGTAATTGTTACTCTATAAGCAAAATTAGAATGCAAGGTATAGTTCATATTTTCCTCTCATTTTCATTTTGCTTCTGTATATGAGCTGTTTTGTTTTGTATACGTTCTATAAAGTTCAAGTACCATGGCAATGAAACTCTTAAGAAATATGATCTTCACACCTATCTCTACATCTCATTTTAGAGACTATTAAGCAAACAAGTAACTCATGGATCATGGTGTCAATGCCGATTAAGTTTAAGATATAATATTGCTGCAGGCTAATAACAAGTGTCAAATCAGAGGCTTGCCAAAAAAATTGGTTAAGGTCAAAGGTCATTTTGATTGGATAATCTGAAGCTTGCATTACTTTTGTGATAAAATAAAATAATATTACATCCTATATATATTTTTACTACCTTACATTTACATATATACCCCTAACTCTATACACATAACTTCTATCACTCTCTCTCAAGCTGGAGTATATATATCTATCATGCCCAACTTGTTACAAATATAGGTTACTTTTTTTCCAACTAGAGATTTAGTAAAGAAATCAGCTAGTTGTTCTCCTGTTTTAAATTGCTTAGTGGAAATTAATTTATGTTCAAGTTTCTCTCGCACAAAATGACAATCGACTTCTATATGCTTTGTCCGCTCATGAAAAACTAGATTGTTGGTTATATGTATGGCTGCTTGATTATCACACCACAAGTTCATAATCCCTGGATCACCAATTCCAACTTCTGTAAGGAGATATCTCGTCCATATCAGCTCACAAGTTACTTGTGTCATAGCTCGGTACTTAGATTTTGCACTTGATCTAGCTATAACAAGTTGTTTCTTACTTTTCCAAGAAATAAGATTCCCTCCAACAAAAGCACAAATTCCAGTCACAGAACGCCTGTCTACAAATGATCATGCCCAATTTGCATTTGAAAATCCTTCTATTTTATTATGACCATTGTTACTATAAAGGATCCCACGTCCAGGAGCCCCTTTGAGATATTTCAAAATATGAAGAATCGCATCCCAATGAGGTTTCCTAGGAGATGACATAAACTGACTTATCACACTCACTGAGAAAGCAATATCTAGACGAGTTACTATAAGATAATTCAAATTTCCAACTATTCGTCTGTATTGTTCTGGATCATCAAACACTTTTCCATCCTCAGCATTCAATTTTACGTTAGGAATCATAGGAGTATCACACGGCTTGGCTCCAATTAGACTTGTTTTAATCAATAAATCTAACACATGCTTGTGTTGAGACAAGACAATCCCTCTCCTACTTCGAGAAACCTCAACTCCCATAAAATACTTTAAGGAGCCTAAGTCTTTCGTGTGAAATTTGGAAGCTAAAAAGATTTTCAAACTATGAATACCAACACTATCACTACCAGTGATTACAGTGTCATCAACATAAACAACAAAGAGGAGAATACCAGAACTAGATTGCCTATAGAAGACAGAATGATCATAAGCACTTCTATGCAAACCAAATTCAGTTACTACATCATTAAATCTCCCAAACCAAGCACGTGAATATTGTTTCAAACCATATAAAGATTTCCTCAGTTTGCATACCTTTCCAAACTGTCCTTGAGCAACAAACCCTGGTGATTGCTTCATGTAAACCTCTTCAAGAAGATTACCACGATCCACGAAGAAAGACATTCTTGACATCAAGTTGGTAAAGGGGCCAACCATAAAAAGCTGCAAGAGAAATAAATAACTGAACATAGGTCATCTTAGCAACAGGAGATGCAACAAACTTAGTCGTTGGAAAAAATAACAACTGTGAACAGTGTCTCGCGAACAGTATCGTGTGAACAGTGTCACGTGAACAGTGCCATTGGCCACCACAACAAAACCCTAAGACCAGTGCTCTGATACCATATGATAAAATATTCTACTGTGGTTTATTCAATAATCAAATAAAATAATATTACACCCTATATATATTTTTACTATCTTATATTTACACATATACCCCTAACTCTATATACACAACTTCTATGAACTTTCACTGGATAGGATACAAAGTTTCTGAGCATGAAAATGGTTACATCACTTGGATCTTCCTAAGTTTTTCCACATAGATATGTAGAAGTAGCCAGTAGGACACGTGTTGTTGACCATGCCTCTTTCTTAGTATATACATATTAAGTTTTGTAAATGCATAACTTTAATGAGATTTGATTGTTCAAAACTGGATGACTAAATGTTAACGTATTTATGACGTGATTGTGAGGTAATGATGAAATTTGTTGTTGCCTTTATTGACGAAGCATCTAGATTTTTTGTTGCTGACAATTCAAAGGACCCTCTTGCCTCTGTATTCAACATTAATGCAGGAAAGTCTTAAAAAGTTCTGAAATTACAGAACTGCCACTCTGCTTGCTTCTTCGTTCGATTCTTCGATTTTCGGCTCTCTTCCTTGGGAACAAGCTTCATCGTGCTTTGTCCTGCTCCAGAACTCTCCTATCTTCTGAGATCCGCTAATTTCTGAGTCAAAACCATCCAATTTTGTCTTTATTTGCTCAAAAAGTCCATTTTAACCTGAAACATGAGAAGTAAAGAATTAAGCAACAATTCAGGTAAAAATGCACTAGAAAGTACCTGAAATCCGACAAAAAGATCTAATAAAAACTGTATAATTTACGAATTATCAACTAGCTAGGCGATCTAAGAGCTCTTATGCGTACTATCTTAGAGATCTGACCGTGCGATCTATGAGCACTGATGAGCATGATCTAAGATATCTGATGCCCCCGTTCTGAGCCAAATCTCTCAAATTGTGCAGCCAAATCTCACAATTAGATTTGAGAGATTTGGCTATGTGATCAAGAAGCTGTTATGCATACAATCTAACAGATCTAATTGTGCGATTTAAGAGCTCTGATGTTTTCAATCTGAGATATCTGATGTGCGCGATCCAAGCGATCTAACCACTGGATCTGAGAGCTCATACGCGTGCAATCTGAGCAATTTGACCGCTTGATCTTAGAGATCTGGCCGCGCAATCTAATAGCTCTGATGCATACGATCTGAGAGATCTGATCGTATAATTTGAGAAATCTAGCCGTGCGATCTAGGAGCTCTAATGTGCACGATCTGAGAACTTTGATGTGTGCAATCATAAAGTTCTGATGCTTACGAGTTGAGAGATCTGATCGTCCAATTTAAGAGATTTGACTGCACGATCTGAGAGCTCTAATACGCGCAATCTTGGAGATCTGATGTGCGCGATCTGACCACATAATAAAAAAGCTCTTATATGCGCGATCTGAGGAATTTGACTGCACGATCTCAGAGATCTGGTCATGCAATCTGAGAGCTTTGATGCATACGTTCTTAGAGATCAGACTGTACGATCTGAGAGATCTAGCTATTACATCTGGGAGCTTTAATGCACACGATCTGAGAGATCTGATACCTGCGATCTAACAACTCTAAAGTGCGTGATCTCAGAGCTCTTATGCACGCGATCTGAGAGATCTGGTCAGACGATCTTAGAGATCTTATGTGTGCAATATGAGAGATCTGGCCGCACGATCTGAGATATCTGGCTGTGCAATCAGAGTGCTCTTATACGTACGTTCTGAGAGATCTAGTGCGTGCGATTTGAGGGCTCTGGTATGTACGATTTGAGAGCTCAGATGCATGCGATCTAAGAGCTCTTATGCGTGTGATCTGAGAGAAATAAACGCGTGATCTAAGAGATTTGGCTGCACAATTTGAAAGCTCTAATGCATGCGATATGAGAGTCTAATGCACGCAATCTAAGCGATCTGGCTGCATAATCTGAAGCAAAAGATAAGAGTGATCTGAGCGCGTGACCTGAGCGATCTTAGATTTATGATACGCACGATTTGACAGCTCCGATCTGGAATATACTTCAGTGTTTTGGAGATATCTGGCCGCTTTGAAGCGCAATCATGGCGCTCAGAAGTGCGGGATCTTGCCTCTCAAAAGCTCGATCTTAGCTCAAGATTAACCTTCACTGTGAAAATCCACTTACACCCAATGGCCTTTTTGTCACCAGGTAAATCAACGAGATCCCAAGTACTATTATGCTCAAAAGCCAACATCTATTTTGTTAGGAAACGATCAAGTCATGGCAGCGGAAACCAAAAATTATTTATAACATGGATCGTTCCTTAGAACCAAGATCAGGGTACAAACTTACAGGTTATACATTATATTAGAATCTGCAGAAAAATTCAATCTAGAGTTAAGAAAGCATACACACGTTTGGAGGCTCCTCCAACTTGTCTCTGAATGGTTTTTGCTACCGACCCAAGAGTAGGATTAAACCAATGTAGTGCACACGAAGATAACCCTAAGGAACTAAAGAGGGATTTGCTAGATCCTCTTTAGCCTTAAGAACCAAGAACAAATCAAGCAAATTTTGTTTCAAGCAAAAAGGCAATCTGGCGTGGGAGAGAAAAGGGGGCGGGAGGTTTTTCTTTTGAATGAAATGAAATGAAATTAATTAAATAATTTCACAAAGTGTTGCACTTATATAGTGCACACTATGCCCTATTCCATCATGGAATGGGCTTGGGCACCAACCCAAACAACCCCTATGTTCAAACAGCCCCATTTAGATNTGGCAGCGGAAAACAAAAATTATTTACAACATGGATCGTTCCTTAGAACCAAGATCAGGGCACAAACTTACAGTTTATACATTATATTAGAATCTGCAAAAAAATTCAGTCTAGAGTTAAGAAATCATACGCATGTTTGGAGGCTCCTCCAACTTGTCTTTGAATGGGTTTCACTACCGACCCAAGAATAGGATCGAACCAATGTAGTCCACACGAAGATAACCCCAAGGAACTAAAAAGGGATTGGCTAGATCTTCTTTAGCCTTAAGAACCAAGAACAAATCAAGCAAATTTTGTTTCAAGCAAAAAGGCAATTTGGCGTAGGAGAGGAAAGGGGGTTGGAGGTTTTTCTTTTGAATGAAATGAAATTAATTAAATAATTTCACTAAGTGTTGCACTTATATAGTGCACATTATGGCCTATTCAATCATGGAATGGGCTTGGACAACAACCCAAACA